AGAGAGAGAGAGAGAGAGAGAGAGAGAGAGAGAGAGAGCTCAAATCGTTAATTTGACAACTAGGGGGCAGAGAGAGTTTAATCCACACCGTCCTTCTGGAAGGTCCAAAATCGTTTTGCCAAGAGCCCTCGGAGCTTTGATAACCAGTTGTCCTTGTCAATTAGTGCTGTCCAGGGAATTCCTTACACGTGTTTCAATTGCACAACGTTCTGTCTACCTTTTGACACGCGTCTAGCCCTGCTTCCATCTCAAACCCACCCTGGATCACCACATTAATTTACTGTCCTTCTTTACTATACATAAAACCCCAAGTAGGGCAAGGTCTCGGGCGTGTCCGAGTTGGACTTATCTAGGTGTAAAATACTGGGTTGAGATTATAACAAATGAACTTTATAAAACCTATAACCTTCTTGTGAAGTCGAAGTAGCACCCATTGTTGGATGAATTGTTTGAATCAGGAAACCCTGTTTTTTCTCTTGTTAGGGGCAAAGGATTCCGAGTGTATATCATTGTTTGTTAGTGAAAATTTTCACTGTTTTTAGAGCTCTGCCTTTCTTAACAAGAAGTCTAATTCATATGGTGGAATAGCACTTAGGTGAACTTTATATGGAAAGAAAAATAGCTTTTTCCTGCTATTTGAGAAAATATTCATGAATCATAAGCTCTGGACAATTGGGTTCTAATTCTGCATTTGAGTTCCTTGGTACGTTTGAAACAACAAAAAACATGCTGGACATCTTTCAGAGTCCCTCATTGAACGTGTTCACATATCATTGATTTTTCTGATATATGGATACAATTCATTTGATATGGTAGGAGTGTACAACTTTGATTGCTCAGAATAGTGATTGAGTTACAATTCCTTATTTGAGTTCTCTGATGCCTACATTGCAAGAATGCACATGCAGGAGATGTTTTAGAGTTTCCCATGCTGACATGCCATTGGCTTCTGTACCACAAGGACAATTATTAATTTATTATTTCCGTAAAGTTTGTTGAAATACATGCCTGGCTGTGCTAGGTACACCCACTTGGATACATCATGGTACACCCACTTGGATACATCAGCATGTGTGCATACATTTTCTATATGAATTTT